CAAGTTCCCTGTCAGCCACGTGGTTCCTCTTGGAAACACTGCCTGCATTTGTCTCCATCTTGATTCTCTACTGTGTGGAATGTGCACTGCTTAGATCCAACCTTTAATTGTTGCTTCTCACAGCCTTTCTAATCTAGGGTTCAGGGGACTTACCAGAGTGGAGAAAAAGTCCTATAGTCCCATGGGGCTTAGTTGACCCAGAGATAACATCTAAAATATTATTTTTCTGGTCTTTGTCCATATTGCTAGGTTTCCCAGTATGAGTACTGAACAACCAGAAGGACAGCTGATCCAATATTGAAAAAAATACTGCTTGAAAATTGAGTTATTAGCTGGTCAGCGGTGGAGCATGCCTTTAATCCCAGCACTTGGGAGGCAGAGGAAGGTAGATCTCAAGTGAGTTTGAGACCAGCTTGGTCTACAAATTGAGTCCCAGGACAGCCAAGAATGTTACACAGAGAAACCCTGTCTCGAAAAAACAAACAAACAAACAAACAAACAAAAAAGAGGGCCACTTCTGTTGCCTAAACAAGATGTAAGACTCTCAGCTACTTCTCCAGCACCTTGTCTGCCTGCATGCCACCATGTCGCACCTTGATGATAATGGACTGAACCTCTGAAGCTGTAAGCCACGCCAATTAAATGTTTTCTTTATTAAAAAAAAAAAGAGAAAGAAAGAAAGGAAGGAAGGAAGGAAAGAGAAAGAGAAAGAAAGAAAAGAAAGAAAAAGAAAGAAAGAAAGAAAGAAAAAGAAAGAAAGAAAGAAAGAAAGAAAGAAAGAAAGAAAGAAAGAAAGAAAGAAAGAAAGAAAAAGAAAATTGAGCTGTTGGAGTTACAGTGGTGGTTCAGAGTTAAGAAAACTTATTGCTCAGGCAGAAGACATTGGTTCAATTTACAGCAGCCACTTGGTGGCTTACAGCCATCCATAATTGAGTTCCAAGAGATCTGGCACCTTCTTCTGACTTCGGCAGGATCCAAGCTTGGTGAGCATACATAAATTCAGGCAAAATTTTTTTTTGGCTTTTTCGAGACAAGGTTTCTAGGTGTAACAGCTCTGGCTATCCTAGAACTTGCTTTGCTTTATAGACACACAACTGGCCTTGAATTCACAAAGATCCACTTGCTTCTACCTCCCAAGTGCTGGGATTAAAGGTGTCCACCACCACCACCTGGTGGTGAAACATTCCTACACATAAAAGAAAATACATTCATCTAAATTTTTTTTTTTTTTTGGTTTTTCGAGACAAGGTTTCTCTGTGTAGCTTTGCGCCTTTCCTGGAACTCACTTGGTAGCCCAGGCTGGCCTCGAACTCACAGAGATCCGCCTGGCTCTGCCTCCCGAGTGCTGGGATTAAAGGCGTGTGCCACCACCGCCCGGCCTTAAAATTTTTTTTAATAAAACATTATTTGGATGTTTATAATACTTGGCTGCTGCTTGACAGTTAACAATTTTTAAATAAACTTGAATTAATATATGATTTGTTAATTATAAAGCTGACAAATTTAGTGGAAACTCTAAGTAATTATTTTGATGAACCATAATACTTGAGAGTATCGTTTAAGCATATTAATTTCTTAAAGGACTCTAAAATCAAAGGGCTAAGATATTTTCTCAGTCTTTACATTTTAGGAATGGCAGAGCCTAAACTATCATCATCAAGATGATGGTGTTGTCCATGATATTGAAAGTGTACCCTGGTATAGAAGATGCTGTGTCCTGAAAGCAACAAGAACATTTTAGACTTCTTGTAGACTCAGAGCTGAGATAATGATTAACCAAATAATATATTGGCTAATATTTTATCTAACTGTATAAAAGGAAGCTTTAATTGCACTATGAACTAAAAGAAATTTAAGCCAACCTGGCAGTTTTAATTAAAAGATCACTTAATGATAAGACAAAAAGTACGATGGAACCAGTAAGAAACCAGAAGCACATGTAAACAATACATATTTGCATAGATAAAATGAAGATTATTTTAAAGACAAAGATAATGTATCAGTTTTCCATTTTAGATTAGGCTGTTGATCAGATTAGATATTCTACTAGCATTAGCAATCCTGAACCTGAAGCCTGTCCTTTTGAAAACATGATTGTAACGTAAGTAGAAAATCTTGGATGTAAAAGACATAGAGCCTAACCTGATTCTTGGGCAGACTTTAAGCAGGCTAAGTGGACACACCAGCTCAGTATTTAAATTACTTTTTTTCCTTTAGTTTAAATTGGACAAGATCAAAACTTGGAAAATCTTGCCATTAAAGAGGAAAACAGATAGACAAGATATCTGTCTTACTTATTGTCTTACTTAGGGTTTTGTATTGCTGTGGAAAGACTCCATGACCATGGCAACTCTTATAAAGAAAATAAGTTGGGGGTGGCTCACTTATGCTTTCAGAGGTTCGGTCTACTATCATCATGATGCGGAGAATGGCAGCATGCAGGCAGATGTGGTGCTGGAGTGCTATGTCTTTCAGGCAACAAGAAGTCAACTGCCATCACACTGAGGGAAGCTTGAGCAAAAGAGACCTCAAAGCCCATTCCCACAGTGACATACTTCCTCCAACAAGGCCATACCTCCTAGTAGTGCTGCTCCCTTTGGGAGCCACTTTCTTTCAAACCACATTCATGTTGTAAGTTAAAATTTATTTTAGATATTGCTTATTATTACTTTAATACTTAAAAGCATATCCAATTTTATTTGTATGGAATAAGCATACTTAGATTTTGAATGTGACTCAGTTGGTATTGATATCCTGTCACCCTCGCCATGAAAATGAAATTTCACAGAGAAATAGCCAAGTTGCCCTCTATGGGCACTAGGTATGCATATGGGGTAAACAGACATGCAGAAAAACACCTATATACATGAAAAATACAATTAAAAATTTTAGCAAAATATTTCTGAATAATCCATAACAATCTTTCCAGAGGCATTACAAATATCACAAAACAAATTTATAACTTTGTTGTTGGTTATTTTTGCTCTTTTGGGGGCCCACTGCTCAGCTCCCAAATAAATCACACATGGAGGCTTATTCTTAATTATAAATACCTGACCTTAGCTTGGCTTGTTTCTTGCCAGCTTTCCTTAACCTAAATTATCCTGTGTATCTTTTGCCTCTGGGCTTTTCCTTTTTATTTCTGTACACCTTTCTTTGTCTCTTACTCCATGGCTTGCTATGTAGCTGGGTGACTGGCCCCTGAGTCCTCCTTCTCTGGCTACTTGTTCTTTCCTCCTAGATTTTTCCTTCTATGTATTCTCTCTGCCTGCCAGCCCTGCCTATCCTTTCTCCTGCCTTGTTATTGACTATTCAGTTCTTTATGAGATCATCAGGTGTTTTAGACAGGCAAAGTAACACAACATCACAGAGTTAAACAAATGCAACATAAACAAGAGTAACACATCTTAAAATAATATTCTACAACATAGCTTATTTTATTACCCATGAGAATCACAAATAAAAAAATTCTGGACATAAATTATTATTAAAATTTCTGTGTCAATGTTAATTTTTTAAAAAGATTTATTTATTTATTTAACGAGTGTTCTATCTGCATGTATGCTTTTATACCAGAAGAGGACACCAGATTCCACTACAGATGTTTGTGAACCACTATGTAGTTGCTATAAATTGAAATCAGAACCCCTGGAAGAATAGCCAGTGCTCTTAACAGCTGAGCCACCACCTCACTACCCTTGGTGGCAACTCTTATGCCTGACTGAAAAATTATTTTTCATGGTCAAAGTAAATACTGTTTTATAAAAATGAGTTACATGTTAAGATATTATAAAAGATTTAATAGAACCCTAAATATAATACTGAGATGTTTCAATAATTGCTAAGCTCAGGGCAGAATATTTCCTGCATATTTGAGACCTAGTAAACTTGAGTTGATATGACCTAGTTTGAGTATTGGAAATTAACCACTTATACTGTAGTTATTACACTGCTCAATTCCATTTAATTTGGCTAGGATTAAGGCATAAAGGCTTATTGAGAACTGGGATAACATTATTTTCATTGAAATCCAGATTTACCTTTGTCATTCAGGACTAAACTTCCTAGTCAGAGAGTTGGGATCCACAAGAAGCCTTCACTGGCATGGTTAAACTTGACATTTGTTTCCAAGAGAAATGTAGTTTGCTCTAGCAGATGGGTCATTAATTTTTTTATGAATCTGGAATGACTGAGGAAAAATGTGAATACATGACTACAGTATTTGAGAAAGAGGGGATAAACTAAGTTCTGTTTAAAACCTAATACCTGTGTTATATGAAATGTCTCTAAAGCAAAAAAAAAAAAAAAAGAAAAAACTCTGTATGTCTAGTATTCCCTTCTTTAGATCTATTGAATGGGGACATTATCATTAAATGATTGAAAAAATAATTTAGAAGAATTATGATTAAGAGTTAGTTGTGCTGGATAATACATATATACATATATATATATATATATATATATAGAGAGAGAGAGAGAGAGAGAGAGAGAGATCTATATCTATATATAGATATAGATATAGATATAATCAGTTGTTATTCAATGAGGAATTTACAATTTGTATTCAAGACAGAGATGCCATAGCCGGTGCAACCACTTAGGGATGTCCTCTTAGACCTTACTTCTATGTGGTTACAATTTTCTACACTCACATGATCACATTTTGGTCATGGTTTATGTCAGAGAAATGAACTGCTGACCATCAGCAGAGGGATTAATCTGCATGTTTTCCTTGTCTCTGTGCTTGGTATTACACTCATGTAACACATTTCCTCAACAAACAAGTATGGTGATGTTTTATTTGTACTGAAATGTGATTTTAATTGTATGTTAATAAATAAAGTTGCCCGGGGGTCAGAGCTATTAGAGCCATAGCAAAAGCTGGGCAGTGGTGGCGCACACCTTTAATCCCAGCACTTGGTAGACAGAGCTAGGTAGATCTCTGTGTGTTCAAGGATACAGTCAGCATTGGAGACACATGCCTTTAAGATGTGAAGACCTGGAGGTCTGTACAGACAGGCAGTGATGAGGCAGTCATGTGGTTGGGTTTACAATCAATGAGAAGGCAGAACAGAAAGTCTATATAAAGACAAACAGACAGGAAGTAGGTCTCTTTCAGAGAGGTCTCTTGGCTGAAGAGGCTAGCTGCAGCAGGCGGGTAAGGCTCTTAGCTCTGATCTCTTGGCTTTCTTCTTTGCATTGGTTCTGTGTTTCTTATTTAATAAGATGGTTGGTTACATCTACAAACAAGACTAAAAGGTCATCTCAGCAATTTAGAGAGAACATGAAGGAAGAATTGGAAGGTAACTAAGACTGAGGAGAAGCATCTACAACCTTTACTCAGTGATTATATCACTGTAAAGATAGAAAGTATCCAAATGTACATCCTCCTCTCCTCAGTATACAAGAGGAAAGGGGAATGAAAGAAGGCTGTGCAACCTACCTTCTTATACCAAACCTGCCATTTTTGGATTGTATCAACTTCAAATAGTTGGAATCTGATCACTTTTTAAATAACCCCACAATATCTTTGAAGATTATGCCATGTGGTATAGTTTTCTGACATTGCAATATATTTTCAACTGTTTTCTGTTGTGATAAGTACCATGACCAAAAGCAAATGAGGCATAGAAAGGGTTAATTTGGCTTACACTTTCAGGTCACAATCTATCATTGAGGGAAGCCATGGCAGGAACTATGGAAAAATCTGATTACTCACTCATGATGAGTTAGCATTCTTTTTTTTTTCTTTAAGGAAAATATTCTTTATTTAAATAAAAACATGTTAAGATGGCAAACACAATGGTTGTTACTTAAAAGCTGAGATTTTCCTAAGGTTTAAAAACGAGTTCTGTTTGTTTGCTGGCACTTCAATTTGCAATGTTTCCATCAGTTTCTCTGACCTCTTCCCCAGGACTTGTAGCTGTTAGGATGTTTATCAGCCATAGCCTCTTGTAGGTCTCCTGAGTCACTTTCACAAACCAGCATTTTTGGAGCAAAAGTCTCAAGAACAAATGAAGGAGAATGATGCATATGATCCACATTCCAGACATCAGGGTCAGTAATCTGATTGCCAGCATTAGAGAAGTTTTCATTTCCTTCAAAACTTGGGCAAGTAATCTTTAGAAGATTAAGTGGCTCGTCATCAACTGCAGTTCTCTTGACACAGTTGGCCTCATGTTCCTTGAGCCTTTTGATTGGGACCACGTGACAAACACTATATTTGCAGTTAGCCATCTTTTTAGCTATCTTTGGATTTTTCTTTTTGCATGATGCCAGATGGTATTGTAACCTGCTGGCTGGTATCCTGTGGATTGGGTCATAAGGCTTCTAAGTCAATTAGTCCCTGTGAAGGCTGTGGCTGGGCTGTCTAGCATTCTTATATAGACTAAGAATATCTGCTAAGGAATGGTGCTGCCCATTCTGGATTAGAGCCTCCCAAATCATCAAAAGTATCCCTCACAGACATCACTGCAGGCCCATCTGATCAATCTAGTTCCTAAACTGAAGTTTCCTCCCCCAAGGTGATGCTAGTTTATGTCAAGCTGGCAATAAAAATTAATTAGTACACCATGACACCAAATACATTTTGTTTCCTGAAGTCCAGAGGAAGCTTTGAATGTCACCATGAGTGTGCCTATAACTGAACCTGAGTTCTCTGTAAAAACACTAAGCACTAACTACTGTTGAGCCAACCTTCCAACCCCTTTCTAAAAGTTTAATTAAATAACAATTGCACTGCACCTTCCATTTTCTCCCTCCAACCCTTCCAGTGTCCCAATAATACCTCCTGAAATTGATGGCATGCTTTTATTGTTGTTACATATATATATTTATATATTTATAACTTCCCAAATATATGATTACCCCCGACACTGTTTTTGTTGTTTGGGTGTGTATGATTTTAGATTTGATAACTCTGTAAGCAATTAGAAGACTCATACCTGGGAGATACTTCTCCTTCTCTCATTAGTTGCCTGTAGTTCTTTGTCTAGGGGTGGTATCCCATGAGACCTCTTCCTTCCCTATCTGTACTACCAGTGTTCTTGTTTCTGCAGCCATATTGCCGAGGTATCATACATATTGCTTCTCTGTTATTTTTAAAAGCAACCTTACCCAAAACATCCTGGCAGTCTGGTTCTTATAATCATGCCAATCTTTGAGGATGTTCCCTGAGATTCAGGTCCCGGCTTTCTTCTACAGATGTATTAAGTGGGCCTGGGATGCTGACCATCAGTTGTGTTACATTATAACCAGTTGTGGTTCCCTGGAATTGTCTGTTTTCTCTAAAGAGTTTGTTTAATGGAAGGTATGGGTTATGCTTCTGTGAATATAAAGATGGATTTTAAAATTCAGGAATTATGCTGCTTAGTAAAGTGTGGAAGTAGATTCCCTAAAATCCATGATCTCACTATCCTGGTTTATTAGTTAGGTTTCTAGTACCACGTATGACTTCCCCCATTGGGTAGGCCTTAAATCTAACTATACAGTAGCTGTTTACCAACAAGATATGGACTATACTATTGCACCTTTACTGATCTCTTGCCAGGGTGATCACTGTTTGGGTTCATTAAGTTCTTCATTACTTTCTCATTGCTGTGAAGAGAGTTCATGACCAAAACAACTTAGGAAAAAAATCGTTTCTGGACACTCATGGTTCCACAGGTTAGAGTCCATAATTATCATGGAATGCAACATGGTAGTAGAATAGCAATGTTATACAGAATCTAAGAGTTTACATCATGATTTAAATGTTGGAGGAAGAGAAAGATCTAACTTGGAACAAAGTGAACATTGAAATCTCAAAGCCACCCCAGCAACACTCTGTCCATCTAGGCCACATCTTCTAATCCTTCCCAAGAATTCTATCCACTATTAACCAAGCATTCAAATATAGGTGCCTATGGGGACCATTCTTATTCAAACCACAACATAAGTCATAGTTGGGGACAGCTAGTGACTAATTGCTTCTGTAACTTGGCAGCTTGCACTGTATCTCTTCCTATAAAAGATAGGCTAAATGAAAGTGGTTTTTGGCATTAGATTAAGCTCAGCTCTTCCAAATCCTGCATCCAAAGTGTGCGAGGGTTCCAGCAAGTACGACTTACCTTAAACCTTGCAGAGATAATCAAAGGAAATAGTAATAGCCTAAATTATTTGAGGAATTACTTAGACTGTCATGAACAACTCAAATGGAGATTTATCATGTGTGGTACTGGTAGGGTACTGGTGGGGTAGGGTTTTTAGGGAAAGGTATGGTCAAGCCATGTGGCATAACTTCATTTAACATACACATACACACACACACACACACGTATATATCCTTGAGTGTATACATAACCTTTACACTTGAATTATACATTATATAATTGTTATGTTAATTATATGTAAAATAATAGATGTTATATATTATTTAAACTATGCATTATATATAATTTTATGTGCAAAATAACCACTTGTTGAGCATTACTGAACAAAACTGGTATTTGCTCGTCCTTCTCCTGAATCGACTGTCCACATTTCATACTAAATTAGAAATCTCTTCCTCAGTTTCCATTTCCCCCCTAAAAGTTCTCATATCCAGCAAGTCCCATCTCTAGCCTCTTCCCAAATTACCAATAGAATACTATTTAGAAAGAAATATTAAAACAGAAAATGGTTTGATAGATGGAAAAAACTAAAAAACAAGGGTGCAAACCCACACTAAGAAAGATAAATTTCGCCAAGCGGTGGTGGCGCATACCTTAATCCCAGCACTCAGGAGGCAGAGCCAGGCAGATCTCTGTGAGTTCAAGGCCAGCCTGGGCTATGGAGTGAGTTCCAGGAAAGGCACAAAGCTACACGGAGAAACCCTGTCTCAAAAAACAAACAAAAAAAAAAAAAAGAAAAAAGAAAAAGAAAGATAAATTTCTCTTCTCATTTCCAGCTGCTAGCTTCAAATCTTCAGCTGAAAGATAACCTGGAGTAAACACAGAAACTGTATCTTGTATTATTAATAAAAACATAAGTCAAAGTAAAGTTTCTGCATAGGAATGAGCCAATAATAAAAATACACAAAATTTGACTGTACTTCTGGCTATTCATCCCTAAAATTTTGGGGCTAACTTCCACAACTATTTATTTTGAATATTAAAGTTTATGAAAAAGTTTCACAATATTTATTTCATTTAAAATGATAGCCAGCTTTTTCATAGTTTTGCAATGAAAATTTCTTTTGACTGGATCTGATTTCCCAAAACGGCTGGCTGAGTTTCTATTATATAGCTGTGATAAATCACAAATAATAAAGCAACTTTTTTTTTCTTTTTAAGACAGGGTTTCTCTGTGTAATAGCCCTGGCTGTTCTAGAATTCAATTTATAGACTAGGATGGCCTTGAACTCACAAAGATCTGTATACCTCTGCTTTTGGAGTACTGCAATTAAAGGCAGGTGCCACAATGTAGGCTTCTTTATGTGTGTTTTATTTTTTTGTTGTTTGAGGTTTTTTGTTTTTGTTGTTTTGTTTTTTGAGAGTGTTTCTCTGTATAGTCCTGCCTGTCCTGGTACTCTCTGTAGACCAGGCTGGCCTTGAACATGGAGATATACTGGTGTCTGCCTCACATGTGCCATGAATAAAGGTGTGCTCCAACACACCCAGAGTGTAAAGCCACTTTTAAACTGAAGTGTAATATTAGGCTGGCAGTTACAGAGGGTTAGAGTCTGTGAAGGTCGAGCTCTGGGAACGAAGTTTCAAACTTACAAGCCTATTGGACCACTCTCTCAGACCACTACTACTGTAGTTTTCAGACCTACTGTCCTACCAAGAGTTAAAACAGGAGACAGGTATATTATACATAATGCATATGGTTTTCATCCTAAAAAAAAAAGAGCAAACATTGGAAGTTAAAATTGCACTTTAGCAGGTCTCACAATCTGATTCTTTCCACATTAAAAAAATTGTTATGTCTTCACTCTTTTAACATGTTTTTTTTTTTAAACTCATTTGTATGTCTGTGTGTGTTCATTAAGAAGCATGCATGTGATTGTCAAGAGACGTTTGGTTCTCTGTTTCCACCATGTAAGATCCAGAGAGGTAATGGAGATAATCATCTTTCCTATCAAGTATCATTACTAGCTGATGAATCTCATGGTCCAATGACATTCTTCTTTCATACCTCACAATACAGGCAATTTGACCAATGCAGTGGCACACAGTTAGTACTCATACAAGTTCTACACACTACACATCTTTTCAATGTGAGATCATTATGAGTTTACGTAGAGATATAAAACACAGAAATACAGGATCATATTCCTTAAAAGGACAAGGTTTATAAAAACTATAAATTATTTCCCACGTTTATTACAAACATAAAAGCTTTCACCAGTGGAAACATTTTTTTTAGTATAATAGGACTATAAATGTTAAAGCCTTTTCCACATGGTTACATATGTAATGCTTGTCTTCAGGGTGAATTCTAGAGAACATTATGGCAACAGGACCTGGTGATTACTTTACACAATGCTGACTTCTTTCCAGTGTAAATGCTTGCATGAAGGTTACAGAAACTGGAAGTGGTGAAAATGTTCTCACAATGCTAAAATTGATTAAAGTTCCTTTCCGATGTGAGATTTTTTGATGCTTGATAAAGTAAAAAGAGCAAAGAAACAGTTTCCTAAATGTTCACAAATGAAGGGTTTTTCTCCAGTGTGAATGTTTTTATGACTCTTGTGCCAACTGGAACTAGTGAAGACTTTTCCACAATGCTTACAAGCTTTAGACTACTGACTAGTGTGACTCCTTTCATGTCTGTTACGACTACTGGAGTCACTGAAGGCCTTTCCACACAGCTTACATGCATAAGGCTTCTCTCCAGTGTGACTCCGTTCATGAAGAATCATATGCCTAGATTGGATAAAGGCTTTTCCACAATGCTTACATGCATAAGGCTTCTCTCCAGTATGAGTCTTTTCATGAAGATTCAGATGACTGGATTGGGTGAAGGTTTTTGCACAATGCTTACATGCATAAGGCTTTTCTCCAGTGTGACTCCTTTCATGAAGAATCATATGCCTAGATTGGATAAAGGCTTTTCCACAGTGCTTACATGCATACAGCTTTTCTCCAGTGTGAGTCTTTTCATGAATGTTCAGATGACTGGAGGAGGAAAAGCCTTTTCCACAATGCTTACATGCATAAGGCTTCTCTCCAGTATGAGTCCTTTCATGAAGATTCAGATGACCAGATTGGGTGAAGGCTTTCGAACAATGCTTACATGCATAAGGCTTCTCTCCAGTGTGACTCCTTTCATGAATGTGCAGATGAGAGGAGCATGAAAAAGCTTTTCCACAATGCTTACATGCGTAAGGCTTCTCTCCAGTGTGACTCCTTTCATGTCTGTTACGGCTACCGGAGCTGCTGAAGGTTTTTCCACAATGCTTACATGCATAAGGCTTCACTCCAGTGTGACTCCTTTCATGAAGGTTCAAATGACTGGAGCGGCTAAATGCTGTTCCACAATGCATACATGCATAAGGCTTCTCTCCAGTGTGAATCCTTTCATGAATGTTACAATAAGCAGAACTGGTGAAGACTTTCCCACAATACTTACAAGTGTACGGCTTCTTTCCTTTGTGAGTTACTCTATGTTTTTCAAAGCATTTTGCATCTTTAAATGTTTTCCCGCATTGCTTACAAATGTACCTTTTCTCTCCAATACAACTTTTTTCATGGTTGATAAGGTCACTGGAATCAATGAAGGATTCTTTACAGAGCTTACATACAAATGCTTTCATTTCTTTATGGATTCCTTCATAATTCCGATCATATGTGTATCTCCTTAAGATGTTTTCATTGAGTTTTTCTCCAGGGTGAATTCTCTCCTGAGGCTGACCAAAAGGGAGATTCCTACAGGCTTCATTACAATGCTGATTTTTACAGAGTTTCTCTTTTGGAGAACTTTCAAGTGCCTGAAGTGATTCAGAATGGGTTATATATTTCCAGTGTTTCTGATGTGTAAAAGCTTTTGCCACAGCTTCCATATATTCAGACCATTTCCCTCTAGTTTGGTAATGGAGATACCTATCTGAGGATAAATGACCAATGACATTTCTTACGTACAATGGGCTTTCATGAACTCTTATTGAAAGAGGCATATCTTTATTGACCATGTTCTCTCGAATAGGCTCATTGTTTTCATCGTGCTGACTGTCAAATTCATAGCCACAGTCTTTCTCAACCATCTGGGTTCTGCAAAAAATGAGAAGAGCATTACTATAGTCAAGGGAAATGTTGGAGTTTGGCTTGTGTTGATCACTACAACTATGCTATCTCAAAGGCCACAAGAGAATGCTGCAATGTTAAGGTCAACACGGACCACATGTAAAGACCCTTTCATGCCAGGCGGTGGTGGCGCACGCCTTTAATCCCAGCACTCGGGAGGCAGAGGCAGGTGGATCTCTGTGAGTTCGAGGCCAGCCTGGGCTACTGAGTGAGTTCCAGGACAGGCTCCAAAGCTACACAGAGAAACCCTGTCTCAAAAAAAAGAAAAGAAAAGAAAAAAAAGATCCTTTCATATGAAAAAGGGTATAGTGTTGACTTTACGTCTGTAAGAATTATGAAGGAGCTATATCACAGGCTTGGAGGTTTTAACAACAAGTCTTGTTCTTCCAGCAGACTAGAGATTGATGACTAGTATTCATGAGAAGGGCTCACACATTCCTGTTACTCTTTATCTGAAGGATCTGTTGCCCTCTTCTGCCTTCCACAAATGTTTTTTGCAGAGATAGTGTTCACCAGCTCACATGTTTTTTGCAGAGATGGTGTTCACCAGCTCTCTCTCTCACACACACACACACACACACACACACACACACACACACACACATACACATATATGTATATATATATAAAAATAAAAATAATTAAGAGACATAAAAGGAGTGCACATGAAGGCAGAAGTCCTGGTGTTAGTAGACAATAATAACATCACATAAATTTGTAAGACATTGTAGCATTCTAAATTCTCAGCCTGTGTTGGTTGGTTATCAACTCTCCCACAGCTAAGGTCATTGGAGACTAGAGACCCTCAATTGAGAAAATGACTCAATCAGATTAACCTGGAAAGACATCAGTGGAAGCATTTTCACACTCGTGATTAATGAGGGCTTTCGCCATGTTGGGTGGCGTGCGCATACATAGGAGTGCATGGGCTGTGTAGGAAAGGGATCTGCTGGTTAGTTTCAGTTAACTTGACACAAACTCAGACACACATTTGAGAAGAAGAAACCAAAAAGGAGACAACAGTTTTATCAAATTGATATTAAGGCATGCCTGTGGGCGCATTTTCTTGATCAATGATTGAGCTGGAGTGGCCCAGCCCACTGTGAGTGGTGACCCACTAGAGGCATGGGTCAGGGTTGAATAAGGTTGGTAGCTGACTCAGGAATGAGGGGCACTCCAGTAAACAGCATTTCTCCATCACCTCTCCTTCAGTTCCTGCCTCCAGATTCCTGTCATGCTTGAGTTCCTGCCCTGCTTTCCCTTTATGAAGGGACTGTGACAAGGAAGTATGGAACTGCACCTCAGAGTTGTTTTTTGTCACAGCAAAAGAATGCAAACAAAACATAGCCCATGCTCAAAGCCTCAAAAGAATATACAGAATGATAGTAAATACTTTTAGATAAGAAGGGAAGTTTTTTTGTGTGTGAAATAAACCACTGGAAAAGCTCTTTCAGAGCTTAATGTTACATGACATATTTGTGGTATTATTAGATTACAGAGATGAGATACTCAAATACTGAATGACACAATTCAATGCTCCATTACAGGAGTTTGTGCAGAATCATTTTTCCATTAGATATATTTGGACTATTTGGTAGGTTCTCAATTGTCCCATGATTCCCAAATATTTGACATAAATTATTTTCTATTGAATATAAATTACCCCAGATTTCTGCTGAAATTTTTATAGTCCTCTTCAATGTTTTCTTCTAGTGCTTTCTCTAGAAGGAAAATTAAGAGAATTCATTACGACATACTCATGTTTAATGTAAAAAATGATTACAATCTAGTTTTAATGACATGGATATTCACACTAACTTCACCACACATTCCCTTCAAGAATCCAAACCACACTACACACATAAGCAGGACACAATTTTTCTCTGGCTGAATAAGCAATTGGAGCATTTTTTTTTTTTTTACCTATGGAGATCAAGTTCAAAAATGTTTCCTTCATCACATCTCTGTAGAGCTTCTTTTGACTAGAATCCAACAAAGCCCACTCTCCTGAGGTGAAGTTCACAGCCACATCCTCAAAGGTCACTGGCTCCTAAGAGTGCATATATTAGGATGGTTAGTTTTAACTGACAGACTGACAGGATACAGAATCATCTAGCATAGATGTTTCTGAAGACAACCTCTAAGTGATTCTGTACATACGGTTAACTGAAGAATATCTGTGGGATGCTATCTTGATTCTTGATATAATATAGAAAGACCCACTATCTCAGTTACTATTTGATTGCCATGAGAGACATCATGACCAAGCAACTATTAGAGAAGAAAGCATGTATCAGTGGCTTGCTTACACATTTAGAGAGTTAGTCAGTGATTATCGTAGAGCGAAGCAGACAGGCAGGGAGGTGGAATGGTAGCTGAACGTTTTACTTCATATCCAAAGACAGGAGGCAAAAAGATAGACACTGTGCCTGGCATGTGCTTTTAAAACCTCAAAGACTATCCTCACTGACAAACCTCCAACAATACGGTCACATCTAATATTTTCCAAAAAGTTCCACTAACTAATGACCAAGCTTTCAAATATATGTGTCTCTGGAGTTTAGTCATTTTCAAAACAATGCACACACCAATTTTAGAGGCAGCATTTTGTGAACTGTATAGGAACTACATTAGTGGAAGGAGAGAGTGGAGACACAGACAACTAGAGACACAGACAACTACGCATCACTCTGTTCCTGATTGTGTGGGATCTGACCAGACGCTTCATGGGCTCGCAGTTTAAGGAGTGTACCCTTTAAATTGTGACATGAAATAAACTCTTTTTGCCTGAAGTCACTTTTCTCAGAATCATTTATGCTAGCCAGATGGAAAGCCTAATATAAGAAATAACAAACAAACAAACAAACAAACAACACACAAATAAAAGTGGGACCAGGGTAAATCTAACCAGGTTCTCTGTGGGCATTTAGAACATACTTGGAAGGAATGTGAAGGAAATGGCCAGAAAATTTTCTTCAGGGAAAAAAAACAAAACAATGAACAAAAACCTTAATGAATCATTCTGATAGATGATTCAAAGACAAAAATGCTGAAAGAAATGTTTGCTTCAGAAACGTTCAGTGGGAACAAGGGCTGAGTCACGAACTAGAGTAAGGGCTATTATAGTCAAGAATATGATTCATTCTGCCTTACTTCAGAGAACTAGAAGTGAACCTGAATGTAAAGATTGTGGAGTACTTTGGTAGAGGAAATGACTGTAAAGAGCTAAATTTTTAGCTCTTATGGAGGGAGCAGTTGGAATTGATAAGTTCAATACTGTGTCCTGGAACAACAGTGAAGCAGGTAACATGGGGATAACAGAGCAATCTGGAATTCTGCTTGACATTGGCCCCGCACACAGTCTTCTTCGAACAATGAACCTAGCAACATGTGGTTATCCATGTAGCAACTATCATCTTTAGTGGGCTGTATCTATCTCTGCTTTAAAAATAGCAACAAGTTACCTCTTTTAGTAATTCCACAGGAACTCTTTATTGTCTTCAAATACCATATGAAGTAGTTTGAAGTGCATGTGCAATAAGCCAAGCTGTTGTCAAAAGGAATGTTCTACAATAATATTTATTTCTTTGTCTATTGTTACAATTTTGCCTTTTAAGTAATTGGGCCTGGATATTTTTAAATCAGTCAACAATAGGGAATGTCACGTACAGTTAGAAAGGCTTACAAAATGTAAATTTCTGCCATGCATCTCCAGTCACTTGAAACTTACGGGAAGTGATTGCTGTTCTTTCTGCTTTTGCTTTCTTTTCCTTCCTGTGTCAATCAGAACAGTATCCGTTGGAAACAACTGATTTTTTTGTTGAGTTAATCCTACATCTGTTACACAATAATAATTGTCTATATTAAATATGAACATTGTAGTTTCAAAGAAAATCAATGGACAAAGACACAAGGTAAAAAGAGTACTCTTACTGAAACAAACTCAATGTCATCAAAACTACTCTACAATGCAGGTATCAAATTCTAAAATTCCCCAAACACTTGGAATCATATCAGTCAAAACATGGGCAGAATGGGATTGGCCCTGCAGGCCATACCTCGGTAAGAAGGTATTGGCAACCGAAGGCTTTGGGAGGATGGACGCCCATTTTTCTTCAGGAATGTGCCCACCAGTAAGTATGTTGCCCATGCAGTACGGATGATCACACACATTGGGACAGCACTACCTGAACTCAGTTGGCAATAAAAAAACAAAAACAAAAGATACACAAAATTAAGAGCTGGGTGTGCTTGGACTGCAGGGCTATATATGATTAAAATATATATATACTGTATATAGACAAGTCCCATAAATAAACATATTTAAAAGGTTTCTGTTCAGGTGGAAGCTCCACCTCAGCCCCCTTCCCCCATCTCTCTCTCTCAATCCTGCCCTGTCTCAGAGAACCCACAAAATGGCAGCTCCTCCCCCAGAGATGCTCAAGACCACACCAACAGGGTATTTAAACTGCCCCCTAGAAAACGGTCATGTGGCTTTTTGATCTCTTCTCCAAGTTTCCTCATACCTTTTGCTGAGCATGAGACCACTGACTCCTCCAAATTCCCCTCTGCATGTCGTCCCATTCCCCCAGGAAGTAGCCAGACATGAACCAGCACCCATATACCCAAGAAGTCTGGGATGTTCAGGTGGCAAGCCTTTAATCCCAGAAAAAAATGATGCAGATGCAAGTGTTCTTTAAGTTCAAGGCTAACCTGGTCAACACAGCAAGTTACAGGGTAATAAATATATTATGAATGTACTGTACCCCCAAGTTAGCATTCAAATAAAACACATTTTCTCCAGCAGGTGGAAAGCACACTTGTCTTTCTCTCATATGAACTTTCAAATCTTTCCCAATGATCAGAAATTACACTGATGAGGAAACCAACTCTCTGAAGGCTAAAGAAAAGAGATAAAGTATTAATATTTTTTCCAAGGACTGAAATCCTGGAAATTATTTGCTATAGAATTCACACTCCCAATCCTTCCTGTATCCCAATCCTTTCTACAGTGTGAAACAAGGAGTAACAAATACAATTCCAATTGCCCAGTCAGGGCCATGGTGTCATCCAGGTCCGAGCTGCTGCTGAGGGGACCACGTCTGGGTCCGTGGCTCTACAGCATCCAGGGACTTGAACTGACATCTGTGGTTCTATTGCAACCAAGGGCTGTGTGGTTGCCCAGGGTCTGGTCAGCCACCTGGGACCATGTTGGTGTTCAAGGGCCATGCTGCAGCCAGGGCCATGCAGATCTGAGTGGCCTGTACTTCTACCTGGTGCCATGGGGAGGCCCTGTCAGTGCTGCAACTGACAGCCATGTCCGGGTCTAGGACACTACTGCAGCCAGGGTCTGTGCTGATGTCCATGGCTCCCGCTGTCATCAAAGGCCATGTGGATTCCTGGGGTCTGGACTATGTTGGTGTTTGAGGGCCACACTGCCACTGAGGCCATGTTTGTGCACAAGGGCTGTGGTGATATATTGTGTACCCTAATAAAATATGCCTGAAGATCAGAGAACAGAACAAACCACTAGATTAAACATAGAGGCTAGACAGTGGTGGCACACACCTTTAATCCTAGCACTCAGGAGGCAGAGATCCATTTTGATATCTGTGAGTTCAAAGCCACCCTAGATTACATGAGATTGACTCTGTCTAGGAAGGAAACAGAGCCAGACAGTGGTGGCACACGCCTTTAATCCCAGGAAGTGATGGCTGGGTGGAGAAAGGTATATAAGGCGTGAGGATACAGGAACTAGAGGTGCTTTTGGCTGAAGCCTTTTCAGCTAAGGAAGCTCATTCAACTAGAGGCCCATCGGCTGAGAAGCTGGTGAGGTGAGATGTGGCAGGATCTTGTTCGATCATTCAGCATTTATACCAACATCTAGCTCTGGGTTAATTATTAATAAGACCATTTAGAATTTGCATTACAAAGGGCCATGCTGCTGATAGGGCCATGCCAATCTGGGTAGACTGCACTGCCACCTGAGGCAATGGTGACATCCAGACCTGACTACATGGAGGACCTTGTCTGGGTCTGTGGTCCTACCACAGCCAGGGTGCGTGTTGAGTTGTGGAGCTTGTGTTGCCACCAGCGGCCATGTTGAAGCCTGGGGTCTGGACAACAACCTGTGGGCTTGCTGGGGAGTAGCCGTGCTGCATAGAGAGCCATCCTGATCAGGGGGGTCTGTGTTGCCACCTGGAGCCATGGTGTCATCCAGGCCTGAGCTGCTGCTGAGGGCCATGTCTGGGCCTGTGGTCCTGCTGCAGCTGGGGTCTGTGTTGATGTCTGCGGCCCATGCTGCCACAGCGGGCCATAGCAATTATGCATGATGAGGTCAAGGGTCTCAAAAAACCAAACAAAAAAAAACCCAAATCAGCACAAACAGAAGTCCAAGAGGAGAAGGGCAACTGCATAGACCACCCACACCCCCACACAGCAGTCTGGACACAGCATCATCAATGTGCCAGAACTGCGAACACATGTAAGCATGAGTTCATGGCAAGGACTCACCCCAGAGTGCTGGGGGTTGCAGGGAAGCAGCTTCACCAGGACAAAAGGGTGGGGGACTCGGGGCTCAAGGCTGCCTGTGGGGTGCACACTTCAAGTGCACGTGGGCATAGGCATTGCTGCCAGACTCCAGGTTGCACTGGACTGTAGAGCACAGGGTAAATTTCACATGGTGGCCCCACACAGCTCCAAAGCAGCTAGACTCCTGAACCGCCACCCAGGATTCCAGGAGCCCAAGGCTCACTCATCATTTTTTGCATCTAGATGAATCTAGATGTCCTCTGGAAGAGGACTACAGGCAGTACAACACACAGTCACATACAAAAAAAGTCCTCACAAGGATCCCTTCTGCCAAGCAAAGGTTAAAATAGGCTTCTGAGTCAGCACACTATGACTATCCATGATCCTCATCAGACAATTCATTTCTTTTAGTAATATTGTCCCTGACTGGTTGACTGTACTCATCCCACTCCTCAGGCTATAATATCAAAACATTTTAGGAATGTTCAATTGCAACCCCATATTGCCACCACTCTTGAGGAAGGACTTCTGTGAATTCAAAGCCGCATGATCCAGGGCTATAGGGTGAGACCCTGACTCAAAACCAAACAAACAAGCTGGACATGGTGGCACGAGTCATGAGTCCTGAGCCAGAGGAGGATCACTAAATTGGAGGCTAGCCAGGTCCAGAGAACTAATTACAGGACAGACAATACTACCCAAAGACACTTGTCTGGAAAAAACAAACAAAACTAACAAAGCAAGAAACAAACAAACAACCAAAAAAATTGAGTTAAAAACCAAAACACCTTAACATGTTATTACAGCACTCTGGAATAAATCTATTCCATTTTGGGATTTCATTGCACTGTAAAACAACACGCTCTGGGATTTTGGCTGCACTCACTCCCTTCCTCACATACACAGTGTCCCCCACATGCCTCCTCCACAAAGCAGTGCCTCAAGTTTGCTCTGTACATTCCAAACTCACACCCTAAAGGACAAAAAACAAAACAAAACAAAACAACCAACAGTAGAAGCAGACCCCAGGTAGATTTAAGCACGGGAACCACATAAAGGGCTTGATAGGAAACCTGAAAGATTAGGGATGCAGCAAAAGACCATGGCTTTCTCACACTTCATGTTTCAATGTATCCATTTTCTGCCAAGAAAATTAAGACACACCACCAAGGGAATACAATTCCTCAATGAATGGATAAAACAGACATGCATTCCATGAGTACTCTACTAAGGACTCAGAATTATAAAAAGCAACCTCTGAACTTCAGAAAAGGTTTTTCTTGTGCAAGGTCATAAAGAAAGCCACCATTCACTAAAGTAAAAACTCCCAAACCTCAGGATCATTCTGACTGCTAACAAAGAGCCCCACCATGGTCATTCTCTAGTGATGATGCAGAGACTTTACATGATTTAACACTGTGACCTCATCATGCCTGCTATTGCTTACAGGGTCATGAAATAGTTCCTTCAGCACCAAAATATTCACTAGAGTAATAATGTTATTCACACACACATTAAGATTTATTCATTTCATTTCTTGGGTATGGATGGTTTTCTTGCATGTACATCAACACATCATTTGTGTGGTTGGTGCCAAAAGATGGCATTGTATCCCCTGGACAAGGAGTCACCGATTATTGTGAGCTTTGACATGGGGTACTGAGTGTGAGACTAAAACAGGAAAAAATACCTCACAAGTTAATAAGAGACCAAAAGAGGAAAAAATATATATACCTTGCAGGCTAAGCATTTTGTTTGCAGTTAAGAGACTTACAAAGAAGTTCCTGTTGTCCTCTGCTAAATCCTAATTAAAAAATGAGTCCATGTTTAGTCCTTGCTGATAAGTTTTCTATTTGTAATTAAGAATAAGTTCCTGTTTCTTAAACTGCCGCAGTCCCATTCATTACTGTACATCCTTGCCTTTGTTCCTTTCCTTCGCATTGCATCCTCCCAGGAGTGTGTAAGGGCCAGCCCTCTCATCCCTTGGAACACCTTAGCTCTCCTATAAGAGGGACTTCAAGAGGCCAGCAGAGGCTGCTCTCAATAATCGTGACTTAGGGTGAGGCAGCCGGGTGGCCAATCCCGGGTGAACCCAGACAGCTTCAATTCTACAATCGTCAACTTGGTCTTTTCTCCTCCTGTATCTCATATTTACCACTGGGAATCTACCCTGGTCCTCTCTGGAAGAGAATGCTGTGATATGAACTGCTGAGTCATCTATCCATTCCTTATTCACATTAACCATTTAGAAGTAAACAGTAAAATTCACAAATATTTCCTTCAGAAGTCTACTAAATTTGGTCTCTCATCATGTATATAACTGATGTTCTTTATATCAGAGGGACTGTTTTCACTGTCCTCTTAGTTGAACAACCTCCATCTTGGGGAGTTCCAAAGTGTCCCATTGCATAAGAGTATCACAGCTGAGTTTGTTGACATTGTAAAACCCCTCATGAAGGGATGGAGGAAGGCACACATTCTCACCTGAGGATGCAGCTGAGGAGGTCTGGGAAAAGGACAGAGAATATGGAGGCAGGGAAGAATGAAAGGGATAGGGGAGACTTTCTGCAGCTCCTGAGAAATTCTCATGCCTGCTGAGTAAGGCTTTCCAGGTGCAATTAGCTGAGGGAAGTGCTGGAAACCAGCTCCAGAAGGGTTCAGGCCGCAAAGAAGGGAAGGAAGTGACTGACAGGATCTGGGGGTGAATCAGGATGGCTGCCACCTATGGAATAAAATGCTACACCTTTTATTCTCTCTAATTGTACAATAGTTTAGCCACAGGCAAGATTGGAAGCAGCCCAATGACTCTGGGATGAAAGTGGCCATCAACTTTATCACAGCCATTTTTCCTGGGACAAAAGCCCACCCAAAATTTCCAAAAGGAAAAGGTGACTCCCACAAAACATAGTGAGGATCACTAAAAATGAAAGTAAAACGGTGCTGGAGAATTGCTAGAGCTTTGTCAAGCAGTAATGACTGTCATGCAGTCCATGCCAGGGAACAGTGATCAAATCCCTATAAATAATCCCCGTTCTCTGTGCTTTAAGGAATCAAAGAAACACTTGGGATCCCCAGAGGGACTGTGACAGAATCCTGCCTCAGTTTGTTGTTGGGACCTTGGGAGGAATTGCTTGACATCTCCCCTTCAGAAGGAACTTTAGCAACACTTGGCTTGTTCATAGGGTACCCATGTTACCCAGCATGTCATATTCTATCATAGCAACAGCAAATGGGTTAAGACATCCATCTTCATTGGGTTGTAACAACAAATATTTTCCTGATAGACATGCATGGAAACTTCCATGCTTAGAGTGACAATGTAACTATGAACTATGACTATGAACTATGAAAAACAGACATCTCCTGGGAAGATTGACAGTTCACAAAAATCATATCTCTCATGAGAAAGGCAGGTATGACACCACACATCTACAGTTTCAGAAGTCAGGAGTCTGAGGCCGAAGGACTGCATTCCAGAACAGCCTAAGCCATTCCTCCACTTCCAAGATAGTGAGACCCTGTCTGTAATGGAGACTTTAGTGCGAAGCTTCTTCCTAGAGTGATTCCCACGAGTAAACAAGTTTTAGGGACTGATCCCCAGCATTTGAGAAGTGTCTAAAAAGGAGCAGATCACCTAGTGAGATGATTAAGTACCTGGCTTCACACAACAGCTGGATATCTCACTTCCTGCCGTATGGACTCAGTATATTGCTACGTTGTTTACTGAAATGCAGACTGGGGGATTTCTAAATTTCCTTTGAATGCTTTCTTTTCCAAGGGTCATTCAGAAGTGTGATGCTTAGTTTCCCTGAGACTAAGTACTTTCTCTAGCATCTACTGCTGAAGATATCCCCTTCACTCCATTGTGGTTAAGTAGGATACAAGTTATTTCAGTCTCCCTTATTTGTTGACACATACTTTGGGTCCTAGCATATTGTCAGTTTTCAAGAAAGATGAACTAGCTTTCTGAGAAGAATGTGTGCTCTTTAGTGTTCTTTTAAGTGGTCTATAGATTCCTATAGGGTATGCATATATATATATATATATATATATATATATATATATATATATATATATATATATATGATATTAATTCCAATGACAGTTTTGTTTATGTCCAAATGGTACCCCATTTGGTGACACTGGGGGTATTGAATGCTCCTATAATATTGAGCTTTTTCTGTAAATTTTGATACTTTGATCACATCAGTCAAAAAGAGTTTGTTCCTTAAGAACCCCCTAAGGTCCTTAAGAAGGCCACCCCTCAAGGGCATTGTTGCCCACCTTTTTTTTTGTTGTTTTGTTTTGTTTTTCAAGACACGGTTTCTCTTTGTAACTTTGGAGCCTGTCCTGGAACTTGCTCTGTAGACCAGCATAAGACAAATTTCTAAACCACATTATTAATAAAAAACCCAGAGCCAGGTGTTGGGGTGAAAGTTGAAAGATCAGAGCAAACCAGCCATATCTTACCTCTAGGAAATCCTCAGCCAAAGAGAGCTACTTCCTGTATACTCACGCCTGTATACCTTTCTGCGCCCTGCCATCTTACTTCCTCTCTCAGCCTAGCTACATCACTTCTCTAACATCAGAAAGCATAAGACTCAATTCTGGAAGGGTAACCAGCTGAGGGAGGGGAACAGAGGAGAGAGGAAGGAAATCACAGGTGATGAGGGGAATCAATGCACATGAGCACAGACAGAAGAAGAAGAGGAGAAGGGAAACCGCATAGCACACGAAGACCCTTCACAGCACAGTCTGGACTCAGCATCACCAACCCGCCAGCTCTTTAACATCTGTGCAGGTGCAGTTCCATGGACTCACCCAAGTGTGGAGGATTGTAAGGAAGCAGCTTCATCAGCAGCACAGAAGAATAGGGGACATGGGGCTCAAGGCTGCCTGTGGAGTGCACACTTCAGGTGCACTCGGAGATGGCCATTGCTGTTCCAGACTGGGCCACACAGCCCCAGGAGAACCTTCAGTTGGGGCTCTGCATATCTCCAAAGGAGCTAGTGTCCCAATGCTGCCACCCAGGAATCCATAAACCCAAGGTACACTCATCGTTCTGTGCTTCTGATGTTTCTAGCTGTCCTCATAAAGAAGCCTGCTGCTATTAGAACACACAGTCACCTAAGCCTGGACTTAACATTGCTCCCCTCTGCAACACCAAGTCTAAAGTGGCAGCATGGGCAGCACCCTATGACTATCAATGATCCCACTGGACAGTTTATTACTTTTGGTAATAAGGTCTCTGAATGGCAAACTGTTCTCACTCTGCCTCCTCTGCATTATTTAATAAAACATTTTAGGCAAGTTCTGGTGTAAAGCCTTACCGTCAGCACACTTGAGGAAGCTGGTCTTCTGAGAATTCAAAGCCATTCAGGGCTACTCAGTACTCCCCACCTGCCTTTTCCACGAATATACTGCCTTCAGTTTGCTCTGTAGATTCTAAACTCATGCCCCAATGGTAAAGAACATGACTTCAAGGTAGGAGAAGGCTCCAGGTGGGTTTGAGCACAGGAACTTGGTATAGGGCTGGATAGGAAATCTTAAGGATTAGAGATGAGGCAACAGCCCATTGCTCAGATCCATTTGTGAGTTCATTTTTTCACAAGTCAGAATAGCCAAGAATGAGAAAACAAATGATAGTAAAATTTGTCTAGGGTTTAGAGAGATAGCTCTGTGGTCAAGAGTGTCTGCTGCTCTTGATACCAAGTCATGTGGCTCCCAAGTGCCTGTTACTTCAAGTCCAGGGGCCTGACATCTTCCTTGGGCCGCCATTGGAACCAACACTCTTATGGTGATATAACAGACATGACAGAAAGTGAGGCACATTCATAACAGAAAGTGCTTACATAAAAAACTTAGATCCCAAGCCTAGTAACTTGGCAACATACCTGGGACAAAAAGAAAATATCTCACTCTAAATGAGTAGAAGGCAAGGTGTAACCAGACTGCAAGCTTTCCGTTGTTTCTGTTTTTGAGGATATCCAGTTTTAATTCATGATGTTCACACAAAATACATCTGTTCTTCAGGGCAGGAATTTTTCTTCTCTCAGTTTCTTGAAAATATTTCTGTGCTTTTGACCTTGAGTTTCTTTTCCTATTCTATTCCTAACTATTCTTAGATTGGTATTTTCATACTGTCCCAGATTTCATAGATGTTTTGTGCCAAGAGTTTTAGATTTAACATTTCCTTTGACCTATGTATTCATTTCTTCTATCGTGTCTTCAATGGACTAGATTCTTTCTTTTACATCTTGTACTGTCATGGTGAGCCTTGTCTCTGAGGTAAGGTTTGAGTTTCTAATTTGGCATTTCCATATTTACTTTTGTTTGGGTTTTCTTTATTGATTCTATTTCCATTTTCATGTCTTAAACTGTTTTATTAATTTTCTTCTGCTGGCTTTTTTCATAGATTTTTAAAGGCTTTACTTATCTCTTTTTTGAAGATCTGTATCATTATCATAAGGGCTATTTTAAGGTCTTTTTCTTATGCTTCAGCCATGTTGCACTGGTCAGGGCCTATTGTGGTGGGATAGCTGTGCTGTATTGAAGACATTGTACTAGCTGTTGTGGATTTTTTTTTTTTACATTGGAGTCTAGGCATCTTGGTTTTGGAAGATTGTAATTCTAGGTGCTGATACTGGTCTTGTGCTTGTTGGGTGACTGTGTTGTTCCTTGGGTTCTGTTCCCCTCTCCGTTTTTTAGCATTCTGTGCTGGCTATGTTTTCCCTGGACTGAAATGCCTGGGATAAGTCATGCACTGGGACTTCCAGAAAAAAGTATTTCTAGGTATTGGGAGTTGGAACTTATGACTGGAGGTGTGATAGAAGAGGGGAAGTGCTGAGGGAGTCAAAGGAAGGAGGAGAGCAGGGTGTTCCACTAGGATCTGTTCAGTTTCCTCAGACACAGTGCAGACAGTGAGGAGAAGCCACAGCAGAAGGTCTGCTATAGAGCTGGGCATTAGAATGGGAGATTGGAGTTGGAGGAATGAAGGTAGATATGAAGATCAGCTCTTAGCCAACCAGCTCAGCTGGTCAAATGGTCTGCATGGTGAGGTCCTTGAACCATTTGGAGTTGAGTTTTGTTCAAAGTGAGAGGTAAGATTCTAGCTTCACTAATCTGCACTTTGAAACTACATTAAGATTCTATGTCTTCCCAGTCAACATGGCCTTCAAAAGGAATACAAATGCCAACAAATAGTGGCCTGGATGTGAGTCGCAGGCAACCTTTGTATACTGTTGGTGGGAATGTAAAGTAGTTTAGCCTTTCTGGAAAACAGAAACCAGATATAGAGCTGAAGAGATGGCTTCAGCAGTTAAGAGAAAAGACTACTCTTGCAGAGGACCCAGTTCTATTCCCAGAACCTACATGATATCTCACAACTATATGTAACTCCAGTTCTAGAGGATATAACACCCACTTTTGGCCTCCAAGAATTCTACACATAAGAGGTACATGGGCATACATTCAGGTAAACACTTATATAGATAAAAACAAATAAATTTTTAACAATTTGAATTAGACTTACCATGTGACCTAGTTATACCACTTCTGGGCACATATGCAGAGAACTCTATATCATATTATAGAGATAATTATATATCCATGTTCATTGCAGCTTTATAGAGAATAGCTATGAAATAGAATCAAACAGTTACCCATCAACTTATGAATAGATAATGAAAATGTGATACATACACACACCCACACACACACATACACACACACACCATTTTGTACTACTCTCCTGTATTAAAAAAAAAAGTGAAACGATGAAAATTTCAGGAAAAAGGCATAGAATTAGAAAAATTTTGAGTGGGACCACCCATGGCCAAAAAGAGAAATAATGAATGGCCTTTCTCATACAAGGTTCCTAGTTTCAAATCTTTTGTTTATGTGTGGTTTTAGCACAAAGTACATGTGGAAGGAGGGGCTAGAAAGGTTATGGATTGGGAGGATGCATGGGGTCTATGTGAAGAATATGGTAAAATTGAAGTAGTGAAGGGAATACTAGAGACAGAGGTTTCAAGCTGGTGGTAGAGTGACAGAGATGGGTAGAGGAGGGGCCAGAAGGCTTAAATGAAATGAACTGTGCATGAAGAAGTTACTTGGGAACCTATGATCTTGCACGACAACATAAACACATATGCATATCGTCAGTGGGGATAGTAGTCCATATGTGATCTGAATGAACAAGGAGGCTGAAGGTTTAAACAGGGATGAGGACAGAGTGTAGAGGAAAGCAGGGTAAGGAAGTGGGTTAAAGAAAGCTAAACATGTATTTTAAAGCCTTAGGAAACACCACTAGTTTGTAAGCTACATATATATATATACATATATATATATATATATATATATACATATATATATATACACTTTGTAAGGGGAGGATAAGAGCATCACTGTGAAGTCCAGGCTGTCACTTTCTGTGTAGACCAGGCCTTGCACTCTGTATGAAGACCAGTGTAGCAATAAACCCACAAAGCTTCGAACAAACACATATTACCACACATTAGCGAAGAAGCTGCTTCCAGAATCCATGAGTTAATAAATAAAATGTCAGTACCAGGCACAGGTAAATGGTCGGAGATGGTTCCAAGGCACACAGAACAATATAGGTGCTTGCTATTGCTGTCGGTTGCCCACAAAATTAGATGATAAAACCCTATTGCTAAAGACACCACACCACTTTGATTGCACGACATGGAAATCAGTTATGAACTGACCAGGAAATCAGGTACCTATCTTTCAGGTCTTTCAGGTCTCCTCCACAGGAGGCATGTCATGCCTAGTACTTTGACAGAGTCAAAACCTATGGCGAGGAAATTCATAGGTCCTCAGGGAGAGCCTACTAATGTTCTGTTCCTAAGTGCTCCTGTTGACACACTGCCTTCTAAATATTTGTGTTTCTATCCATGAGTTTCTATTGTTACCAACCTGGATCAGATAAGCTTCTTAATTTAGCGGTGGTAGTTTATACAGAGAAGATTACTATTTAAATTATGAAAATGAGCAACTGTGACTACTGAACCATAGATGGGACATTTTTATCAGATACCTAACCCTCAAAGCTCAGGAAACATTGCAACAGGCGGCTGAAATGAGAGTGTAAGAGCTGGAGGATGGGGAGTACTGTGAAAGGCTGTGCTCTGTGTATGACATGGATGTTGCTTCATGAATTCACAACAGCTGTGATTAAGCTCCCAAGATCTGCATGTGCTCGTAGAAGTGAAAACTCGCAGCAATACACTGAGGTTTACGTTGAGGCCTCACCCCTTCCTGAAATCCCAGTTTGAGTTGATGGCTTCTAGGGGGAGAGTCAGTCAGTCTCTCTCTCTCTCTCTCTCTCTCTCTCTCTCTCTCTCTCTCTCTCTCTCTCTCTCTCTCTCTCTCTCTCTCTCTCTCTCTCTCTCTCTCTCTTTTATTTCAAGACAGGGTTTCTCTGTGTAACAACTCTGGCTGTCCTGGAACTCATTTTGTAGACCAGGCTGGCCTTGAACTCACAGAAAACCACCTGCCTCTGCCTCCTGAGTGCTGGGATTAAACGCAGACACCACCACCACTGAGTGAGAATCACTTTTCTTCAGGAGCGTGTCACTGGTGGGCCCACCTTATGCTGTGTATGACCCCATGCACACTGCACATAAGAGCTGCACTAGTTAGAGTGGGGTAGAAGTAAATTATTTTCAAATGAAATAGAGCCTGTCTTCACATCTGTTTGTATCTATAATTCCTCTATTCTATGTTATTCTGAAAATAGTTACTCATTTCTTTAGACGGTAAATAATAGACCAAATCATATCATGTTTTCAAACATGCATTATCTGTTGACCATGACAGGCTGAGGAAATCAAGTTATACACTCTGCATAACTATCCTTTTCATATTAAATATTAAATATAAATTAAAATAAATTGAAAATCAAAGTAACTATACACACAAGTGTAATAAATATATTATACATGTACGGCACACTTAAGTCAACTACACAGCAGTCTGGACTCAGTATCACCAACCCGCCAGCACAAGGACTCACCCAAGAGTGCTGGGGATTGCCATGAAGCAGTTTCACCAGGAGAGACGATGGTAGAAGCGGGGCTCAAGGCTGCCTGCGGGGTGCACACTTCAAGTGCACGTGGGCATAGGCATTGCGGTGCCAGACTCCACCTTCTACTGGACAGTTCAGCACCAGGGAAATCTTCAGGACCAGGACACACGACAACCAGGTTTCCAGAAGCCCAAGGCACACTCACCATTTCGTACTTTTGATGTGTCTCTGGGAGCTGCACTCCGCAATACACACAGTCGCCCAAAACAGATCCTGACAAGAATCCCCTTATCTTAAGCGAAGCGTAAAAAAGGCTTCCGGGATGCACGCCCGGATGAACATGCATGCTCCTCATTGGACAGTTCATTCCTTTCAGTAGTTTTGTTTCTGATTGGTTAGCTGATTCACTCCGCCCTCTCAGCTTGCAGTATCAAAATATTTTGGTAAAGTTCGAGTGAAAGTCGCCTACAGTACACTTGAGAGACTACGCTTGAAAAAGGCGAAGTTCTATAAATTCAAAGCCATTCAGGGCTACATGATGAGACCCTGACTCGAAACGAATCACAGAAGCCCCGCGTGGTGGCAGGCATTTTTAATTCCTTCCGTCCTGAGACGGAGGAGGAAGATCACTTAAATTGGAGGCTAGCCTAGTCCAGAGAACTAGTTCCAGGGTAGCCAATACTACCCAAAGAAATTTTGTCTCGAAAAAAATCAAAGTAACAAACAAGCAAAATAAAAACCAAAATTTTAAAAACAACATACCATCCTTGCACTCTGGAATAAACATATTCCATTTTGGGATTTCACGGCATTGTAAAGCAACATACTCAGAGATTTTGAGTGCATTTACTCCCTTCCTCGCATATTCACTATTCCCCACCTGCCTTTTCCAGAAAGATTGCGCTTTAAGTTTGTTCTGTGCATTCTGGTCTCTTTTCCCAAAGCGGAAACAAAACAACAACAATGAGGACAATAACAAAACCCACGGGACTTCAGAGAAGCAGCAGGGCCCACATAGGTTCAAGCACAGGTACCACGTAGGGGCTTGATAGAAATCCCCAAACATTAGGGATGAGGCAAAAATCCCATGACTTTTTCACATCTCATGTTCAAATGTATCCCCTTTCATTACAAATGTTCTTCATGTGAAAAGGATTGTTTTCAGTAATTAAATTAAAATTAAAACATGCCAACAAAGGAATATAGTTCGCCTATGGATGGATAAAATAGTCATAATGGCAGGAGTGCTCTACTAAAGATCCAGAGTTACAAAAAGAAACCCTTGAACTTCAGAAAAGTTCAAGGTCATGAAGAAAGCCTCCATTCAATAGAGTGAATACTCCCAAATACCAGGGCCACACAGACTGCTAACAAGGAGGCCCACCATGGTCATTCCCTAGTGATGATGCACAGACACTAAATGATTTAACACTGAGACCTCATCATGCGTGCTATTGCTTGCAGGGTCATGAAATAATTCTTTCAGCACCATGACATTCACCAAAGTAATAGTGTCACTCACATGCACATTAAGATTTATTTATTTCATTTCATAAGCATGGATTTTTTTTCTTGCGAGTACATCAGTGCACCTCATGTGTGCTTGGTGCCTTGGGTGGCCAGAAAACCATATTGTGTCCTCTGAAACAGTAGTCTCAGACTGTTGTGAACCTCCATACTAGTGCTGGGAATCAGCCATAGTTCTCTTGAAGAGAAGTCTGTGCTATTAACTCCTGAGTCATCTCTCTGTCTCTTATTCACATTAAGCATTTAACAGAAATAAACAGTAAAATCACCAATATTTTCTTCAGCAATCCACCAAATCCAGTCTCTAAACATGATCATTACAGATGTTCTTTATATGAAAGGGATTGTTTTGAGTAATGTTAGTCATGATGTGACTGACCATGTCCTGTTAGCTGAACAACCTCCACCTCAGGGAGTTGCAAAGTGCCCACTTGAAAAGGATAATCACAGCTGGGCTTGTTGACCATTTACAACTCAACATGGAGGGATGGAGGAAGGCATAAGATCCTCACCCGGGGATCCAGCTGAAAGTGGTCTGGGTAGAGGAAAGAGTATATGGAGGCAAGGATGAATAAAGGGGGCAGGAGAGAGACTCTTTGTAGAGCTCCTGGGAAGCTCTGATTCTTGCTGGGTCATGCTTTCCAGGTGCAGTTTGCTGGGGAAGAGTGACCAAACTCCTATAAATAATGCCTATCCTATGTGCTTTAAGGAATCAAATCAGCACTTGGAATCCCCAGAGGGAAGTGTGACAGAATCCTGCCTCAGTTTGTTGTTTGGACCTTGGGAGAAATTGCTTGACATCTGCCCTTGGAAAGGAATTTTAGCAACACTTGGCTTGTTGTCAAGATATGTTACCCAGCATATTGTAGTCTATTGCAGTAAGAGAAAACAAGTTAAGATACTTTCATTGGAATGAGAAAGCCAATCTTTCCCTGACCAAGATCCATGGAAACAACCGTGCTTAGAGTAACAATCTGACAATAAGTAGAATTGTACAAAAAAAAGGTATCTTCTGTGGAAATTGATAGGTTACAAAATCCAGATCTCTCAGAATCCAGGCATGAAGCCACACACCTACAGTTTCAAAAGTCAGAAGTCTGAGACAGAAGTACTGCATTCCACAAATGCCTAAGCCATCTGTCCACTTCCAGAATAACTTAAACTCCATGATGAAACCCTATCTGTAATGAATGCCTTGGTGGGAAGCTCCTTCCTAGAGTGATTCCCACATATAACCAAGTTTCAGAGACTGATTCCCAGCTTTGAGAAGTGTCTTAAAAGAAGCAGATCACCCAGTGTGGGGATTAAAAGCCTGACTTGCCGCAACCACTGGACACCTCACTTTCTGCTGTGTGAACTTCGTATATTGCTGTGTTTTCATCGTAATGCCTATTGAGGAATTCCAAAGTTCCTTCTTGATTTCTTTCCTCTCCAATGATCACTGGGAAGTGTGATATTTAGTTTCCCTGAGTCTGTGTACTTCCTCTGCTTTCTACAGCTGAAGATACCCACCATCCTTCCATTGTGCTCAAATAGAATGCACGTAGTTATTTCAGTCTCCCTATATTTGTTGACACTTTCTTTGGGCCCGAATGTATGGTCAGTTTTGGAGAAAGTTCCACTGAGTTTCAGAGAAGAATTTGCATTCTTTAGTGTTCAGGTGAATTGTCCATAGATGTATATGAGGCCTATTAATGACGTTATTAATTCCAATGGTAGTTTAGTGTAGGTTCTGATGGTACATCATTTGGTGTCATGAGGGTGTGGAAGACACCTAGTCTTGAGATTAATCTGTAATTTTTAGACCTAGAACTATGTAATTTACAAAATTGAGCACACCATTGTGTGTGGCAGGTGTTGTTAGGACTGTAATATTCTTGGAGGGCTATTCCTCTAATTAGCACTAAGTGACCATCTTCTGACTAGTTTTGGCTGAAGTCTATTTTGTCTTATAATAGTTGTGCTCCCTTGTCTTAGTAAAGTTTCCTTTTTCTGGGATAACACACTAACACCACAATCAATTTGGTTTTTGTTGTTGGTTGGTTGGTTTGGAGGGGATTCTATTTGAGAAAGTTATGAGCTACTATGTGGGTGCTTGAAACTGAACCTGGGTCCTCTGAAAGAGCAGCCAGTGTTCCTAACCACCAAGCCATCTCTCCAGCCCCAACCACAATCAATTTGGAGACTAGAGATTCTTTTTTTTCTCTCTTCCACTTCCACATTACAGTCCATCACCATCAAAGGAAGTCAGGGCAGAAAATCAAGGCAAGAAATTTGAAGCAGGAACTGAAACAGAAGTCATGGAGCAATGCTGTTTACCGGCTTGTTCTTCATAGGTGACTAAACTTATACTTCCTTATACCATGCAGGACCACCTCACCAGTGATGACACTGTCCCCAAGTGGACTGGGCCCACCTACATCAATCATCAGTCAAGAAAATGATCAGTGGGAATGGTAGTGAAAGCCATTAATCCTATGATGGAGTCAGGAGCGGGTGGTGTGGTTCTCTTTTATTCAAGGCCAATGTGTTCTACATAGCTAGTTCCAGACCATCCACAAATACCTAGTGGGGAGATCCTGTCCAAAAAAAACCAACCAAACTATGAAATTCACTATTGGCTTTTCAACAGGAAGCTCTTATGGGAGAATTTTCTCAAATGAGAGTCCCTCTTCCCAAGTGACTAGTTATGTTATTTTGACTCAAAACTAAGTTGAGCACCCCTTGTTTGTTGATTTTCTTTAACTTGAATACCTTTTCCCATTCTTTTCTCCTAAGGTGGTATCTTACTAGAGTGAGGAGCATTTTTTGAAGACAGCAAAAAAATGTTCTTTTATGACATGCTAATCAGTTTCTCTTTATTGGGAAGCACAGACAATAATATCAAGTGTAATTAGTGGAACAGCATGTTAACGCATGCATTTACTCCCAGCACTTAGAAGGCAGAAACAAGTACATGTCTGTGATTTCAAGGCAAGACTAGCATGTTGCAGGAACTTCATGGTTAAATAAAAACCATGTTCAAGAAAAACAAAACAACCAGACAAACAAAAAAGGCCTAAGATACAAAGTAGTCTCAATGCTGAAAAACAATCAGTAAAAACTGTAAAGTGTTCATCACACTAGGCCATCAGGAAAGGGCAAATTTGGTGTATTTTGAGAATTCACCTTCACAAATCAGGATTTCCAAGATTAAGAAAACAAATGATAATAAAGGACAATCTTAGGGCTGGAGAGATGGCTCAGTAGTCAATAGTGTTTACGGCCCTTAAAGAGGAGTGGAATTTGTTCCCAGAACCTAAGTCTTGTAGCTTGCAAGTGCCTGTAACTCCAACCCCAATGGATCTAATACCTTCCTTAGGTCTCCATTGCTACCAACACTCTCATGTTCACATGCACATAGCAAACAAAACAAAAAACATCTTGTGATTATATATTAAAATGTGAGAAACACAAAACAATTTGAAGAAAGTATCTGTTTGTGGAATAGATGAAAAGGAAGTGTTGGTAGTTGAGTACCAACAGTGTTGAAAGAAAAATAAAGAAGAAAACCAGAGCACAAAAGAAGGACACAACTACAGGCAGATTTAAATAAACCTATCTAAAAGAATTTATATATAGCATATTATTGCATTATACTTGGGGTGGCTGTGACTGTCCTAACTGGTATATCAGTGGCTCTTATATAGTAATTAAGGGGAAGGTCTAAATTATGCCTGAATTATAATTTCTCCTTTTAAAAGTGTAGGTTAGCTTTGTTTTGTTTTATACCAATCACTGTAATTTTCTGTTATACCTTC